AAACAATCCTTAATATACTCCTTTTATATATCTATTATTTATATCCAATATAATTAACTGTTATTATAATTTCAAATAGTTTTGTAATAAATAAAAATGAAAATTTATTAAAAATAAATTTTCACCTGGTTTATGACCCTCCCCCCCCCCCCCATCCTTTCTAATATTACCTTTGTCGTATGATTTTTTTCTGCCTAAATAAGGAATTTTATAAATTATAATTTTTAATTAAAACAAAAAATTTGATAAATACTCAATTATTAAACAAAGAAGGATAGAAATGATTGGTATAAGTTAACAATATTAAAGCACAATGGGAATAAGTACTAAGAAGTTCAAAATCTCATTTTTTTTAAATTATAACAACAAAATAACAATATTTTAAAGGTATAATAAAAAAGAGATTTTTTAAAGCATATTTTCAAAAATTAAGTTTTTGAATTGCTTGTTTATTTATGTGAGGAAGAACTTTTCGGTGGTGTTCTACTGCACGTAAAAGAAATTCTTTCTGCTCATCATCTTTTGTAATAGATGTTGCATAGTCTTGAATTAGTTTTACAGCTCGTTCTGCTGTATCGTTTACAGATTTCAGTGATTTGATATGCTCAAACATGTGATTAAAATTTGTGTTAGTTTTCCAAAACTTTGGGGATTCTACCAACCAACCGCCATCCTCATTTGAATATCCGAATAAATTTAGAATGTTACTTGATTTTGGTCCAATTAAATCAGTCAAACAAGTACTCTGCTTCAGAAGAGGAAATTGTGGAAAGCCTATATCATGTTCACAGTTTTCTTTTATATTTTTCAGAATTATTTTAGCCATTTTAGTTTTATCTCGATCAGATACCTTATCAGAAAATAATGAAAGAGGGGACATTTCTTCAGTTAAATACCAAAGATGCCGATTAAATGTTTCCAGGGCAGCAACAGCAACATCATTGTCAATTTTTTTATAAATAAGCATTTCTTTGTAGAATTCCAGGTCATTAAATGGAGCATCGACTGTGCTTGTGCACGTAAGCCATATTTTCACATAAAATAGTAAAGTAAATTTACAAAACCTTGACAATTTCTCTATAAAACTTTCTTCATACTCTGCCAGGTCAGCAAAAGCAAACATCTTTGATGTGTACAAGATTGTACACATCCATCTAGCATGATGGAAGGCTCCAGGTTTGTGCCACTGTATATTTATTTGTTTTGGATTGAGTAATTGCAAAGCAAGTTGACAACATTCTCGATAATCATCTCTTAATATTTTTCGAGATTTCCGGTTAAGTAAACCAGACAAAAAAATTATTACTTCTGCTTTTTTGGTCTTTAATACTGGTTCTTCGATCTTTATTTTTCTAAAAGTAGTATCTGAAGTTAATGAAAGCTTAGGCCATACCTCATTTTTAAAGTGTCTAAATGGCTCATAATTTGGAGATCTGCATTCTCCAAAAACTTTGAAGTAAACAGATGACAAAACTCTTTCAAAAATATGGTGTCGGCAGGCGCACCAAAGTAACTTTTTGTTAAAGTGTTCTTCAATTAACTTTGCAGAACCATTTATCCAACCTGAATTTGATGGAGTTGTGTCAAAAATCATTGCCACAAGTGTTTTTTCCAGTTTCCATGTCTTTACAGCATCTATGGTAGCTGTTGCCTGACTTCGCCCAGTTGTATCAGGAATCCTGGATACACACAACAATTTCCCTTCAGGTGCACTTGGTTTTCCTGTTACAACAATAGCCAAACGTTCCACTTTACCATCGACCTCAGATACCAGCTTTGAATCCCAGTGAATGGAAGAGTACATGGGTGAAATGAATGTTTTCTTAAGATCATTTGAAACTTGCTGTCGAATTTTATTACCTGATCTGTACGCTGTGCTTTTTGAGATAGATATTTCATCTAAATTGTGACCTAATGCTTCAGCTACAGCTAAAATGATTCCAGATCTTTCTCTGTTGGATAGATTCAACCTATCAGCCATTAAGGAAACTTTAGGGTTTTCTAATATCTTGATTTTTTTTTTCTGTCTAGCAATAGTACTTTCTTCATTTTTATTATGAGTTTTGCCTTCATTATCAAATGCTGCCAATACATTGAAGCTTTTTTCTTTTATGTTTTCTTTTCTAGATTTCTCTTTTTCAATAGCCTTGATTTTATTTTTCTCTTTTTCCTCCATTCTTTTCACTTTCATAGCATAACTCTTGTCTAATGGGCCCAAAAATTGCTTTTTTAAGTGACGTTGATCTGAGAGAAAGTCTATATCTGAGATCTGACTATTGATACTACGCAAGGTATCTTTTCTTATCAAATTTTCGGCATTTGATGCTGCAATATCAAACAATAATGATAGTTTATTAGTAAAACTCAGAAGTTGAGCTGCATAACTTTTTTTTTTTGCATTTTTAATCAAGTTCTCTCTAAGATGAATCAGATGTAGTATCATTCTGACAATATCTTTCTTCTGTTTTATTGGAATTCCTGCCATTTTCCAAAAAACATAAACTTTTTCCCAAACTACAGATGCAACTTCTTTTTTACCAGTTAATTTCAATTCAAATCTTGTAAGATAAAGATAATGGCGTACAACATCTCCATTTGTTGGTAGCTGACTATACATCTTTGCTTCAAGGGTAGGTAATAATTTACCAACAATATTATCAAACTTCTCATCATTTTTCCTCAATTTACTATTTCTCATAACTGATCAAATATTTTTTATATATGCTATTATATCTATAGATAAAAAAGTAGCTATAAATTATAAAATTATTTGAATAATGTATGTAACATTAATATTCATCATAAAAAATTTTCTCATCTCAAGCATTGAATAATAATATTTAATAATTTTTGAGAATCGTTGAATTGAAACAAATTATGTTTACTAATATTAGCTATGATACATAGTTTAGAATTATAATAGTGATCAATATTGATACAAAACATATTTAATACATTTATATATTTAGCCTAAAATCAGTTTAAAAGTGAATAATTTTGAAAAAGTGGGCGGCAGAGGGGGTAAAAACTTTAAAAGAAGGGCGGGGGGGTCAAACTTCAAAATTTTTCAAAAATCTTCTTATTTTCACTTTTAACGGACAAAACTACACACAAAACTAAAGGAAAAAAAAAATTTTTTTTTTTTGGGACACCCTAATATATATATATATATATATATATATATATATATATATATATATATATATATATATATATATATATATATATATATATATATATATATATATATATATATATATATATATATATTAGTTATTAACTATTAAAAGAATTTTACTTATCCTGCTTTCTTATCTTCCTTTCCTTATTCCTAATTTCTTAAGATAAGGTTGTTGTAAAACAGATATAAGTCTAAAATATTGAAAATGACCCTGAAAGTATAAAAATATCAAAAATTCACACTTTTCGACAAATTTTTAAAACAGTTCCCTGGTAGCTTAAACTTATTTAAATCTAAATTTTTTGATATTTCTGAATTTCATATGTTAAACCTCACCCTTTTTTTAAAAATGCCACTGGTAAATATGAATTTTTGAGTTTTGACCAAAGTATGACACACCCTAGTAGTTATACTGTTTCAGAAATTTTTATGAATACTTAAAAATTATTATTTTTTCAAAGTTTTGTGGCGTTAATTTACATCTCTTCCCCCCTATTTTTATTTTTGATTATGATAGAAAATTTTATGCTGATTAAGAATCGTATAAAAACATAGCTCTGAAAATTGAAGCAAAGTACTCTAATTTGATCTTGAAGTTTAAAAATTACACTAAAAACACTATTATTCACCATCTTTTTTGTACTCTGTTATGATTAAAATTCATTCAAAATTCATTTGAAAATAACATAAACAACTTGGTTTTTATTGTCAACAAAAAACGAAACTGTTTTTTAGTAGCTACTGATTTAGAGATAGGCAAGGGCTTCAAGGAAGAATAATGATATAAATTGATACTTGCCCCAACCCTGACCCTTCGATGTGTTATCAACTCTCTTGCAAGTTCTCCCTAAATCAGTCGATGTATGTACTGAAGCCAAGGCCGGCGCGATAGGGGTGTGTGGGGGGTGTAACACCCTTCCATCAATGACTTTTATTCGGCAAATTTGAACCTTAGTCGGCAAATGTGACCCTTTTTGACTAGATAGTCGGCAAATGTAGACCCTGTCGATAGGTTAGTTGGCAAAAGTTGAAAAGTTGTAATGGCACTCCCCCCTTACGTGACCCTTACCCGCGCCGGCCCTGACTGAAGCCCTCGCCTATCCCTAAATCAGTAACTTAGGGCAAGAGGGCAAAAGTTAACAAACAGAATTTTACGCCATTATTCTGCAACATTACCTTTAAAAGTTTAATTAATTTTTTAAATATAAAGAATAATTTTGTAAAAAAAAAAAGTTTATTTTTTAATTATAATTAATAATTGTATTTTTTTTTTAAACTGTGTAAATTTTAGTATCGATGAAAATAAAAACCGGGTTGCATAATTAAAAATAAGATTAATAAAAAAGTGTTTAGTTGCATTTAAAAAAGATAGCGAATATTAGCGTTTTTTGTGTAATAAATAAACTTCAAGATCTAATTAGAGTACTTTGCTTTATTTTTCAGAGCTATGTTTTTATACGATTCTTAATCAGCATAAAGTTCTCATAATCAAACATAAAAATAGGGGGTAGAAATGTAAATTAGTGCCAGTTTTGTATGTAATTTAAGTTATACATTTTAATTGATGGTTCTAAATGGCTACACAGAAAACATCATTCTAAAGTTTTTTGTTTTAATATTTGTTATGCAAGTTATATATATATATATATATATATATATATATATATATATATATATATATATATATATATATATATATATATATATATATATATATATATATATATATATATATATATATATATATATATATATATATATATATATATATATATATAATTTTCAAAATTACTAGATACAAAGTATAATTAAATTTAAAATGGCTGCTGGAACAAGATGGAGAAATGATTCTTGTCTACGCCAATATTTGGGATCTGGAAAAGAGTTGCCAACAGCTGAACTGCCAACACTGAGAGATGTCCTAAGAGATGGTATTTTTTCAAGAGAAACAAGCAAACTAAACAGAAGAAACTATAGTAATTCTGATTTGATCCAGGATATTTATAATAAACTTTCAGAAAAATGGCAAATGGCCAGTGTTTTATTTGTGCCTCCCGTAATTAGTATAAAACATAATTTGGTAACAAGACTTAAAGTTGCATGGAACAAAGCTAACCTGATTTCTCAAAATAGAGCAAGTAAGTTTATAAAACAAAAGTTTAATTTAATTATTGACAAACTATTTGATTTGGTGGAGTGTAACTGTAAAATATCTCTTTGTTTTGAGCAATGCTGTTCTACTGACTGTAAAGTTGGTGCCCACATTACCTGCATATGTCCTAGGGAGAGAAAAATACCAATAAATGAACTGGTTTATGTAAAAGGTATGAGTGAATATATGAAAGTCACTATAAAAGTGTTAGTAAAGCAGAAAACCAAATTTTATTATACTATACTGATTTCTTTGATTATTTAAAAAAAAAATTATTTTAATTTGTCTGGTTGTAAGCAAATTGTTGTCACATTTTTTTAGCCCAACGCGAAAAGATTGGATCTTTAAGTTCATATCAACTTGGGCCTGCTGATTTGATGGAGTCCAAAAAGTTCAAAAAAGTACAAAGTTTCAAACGAAGAAGAGAAGAAGAAAAACAAATGAGAGAAAAAAAAACACACTAATCAAAAAGAAAATAATACGCAATATGAACAAGATAACGAACATGAAAATTATAAAGAGAAATCTAATGAAAATGAGATTTTTTCTAATCAAAAGCCTTGTACAAAATATTTAAAAAAAATCTAGAAATTATGAAGATATCTCTAATATTGCATTGGCCAGTATTCGATATGGTGTTGGTTTAAGAGCAACTGCAGGACTTGTATCCCAAAGTGACACTAGATTAATAAGAGATCACAGTAAAGTTCGGAGAGCTAGGGATAAAGTCATGAATGAAGTTGCTGTTCAGTTTGATGATTATTGTAATAAAGAGATTATTGACTGCATATTTTTTTATGGGTGAAAAGATCTTACTAAAGTATTTTTAACTGTAGATGGATCAGACAGACAGTATCCGGCTAAAGTAAAAGAAGAACATTACACTGTTTGTTCTGGTGATGGTAAGTATTTATTTCATTTCACTCCAGCTAAAGAAGCAAAAAAGAACCAAGCTGAAATTATAGCAGATAAGATTATTGAGTATAATGCAATGAAAAACATTAGTACACACTTAAAAGCAATTGGTGGAGGCTCTACCAATGTAAACACTGGTTGGGATGGAGGAGTAATGCACTTTATGGAGCTGAAATTAGGGCGAAAGTTAAATTGGATTGTCTGCGCTCTACGTACCAATGAATTACCACTCAAACGTTTAATTAAATTGTTAGACGGAGAATCTAAAAGCGGTACAAAATGAAGTGGACCCATTGGAAGCTTACTTGATGAAGCAACCAATCTTGAAATTAACCCTTTTTTTAGTAGAGTGGAAACTGGTGAGCTTCTAATTAACTTGAGTAATGATGTGGTTAAAGATCTTTCAACAGATCAGTATTATGGCTATCAAATAGTTGAAGCTATACGCAGTGGTCATGTTCCTCAGCAACTAGGACTTCTGGAAACTGGCTCTGTTAACATGGCCAGATGGCTAACAACAGCCAATAGAATATGTAGAATTAGGGTATCTCATCATGGTCTTCAAGGCGATGCAGCCCAAAACCTTCTTAAACTAGTCGAGTTTATTGTAGGAGTGTACTTTCCTGTCTGGTTTAACATCAAAGTTAAATATAGTTGGACAGAAGGACCAAAACATGTTCTTTACCAGCTTAAGTTGCTTCAGCATCAGTCACTCGATATTTAAAATATGGTCATTCCAACTATTAAGCGATCTGCTTGGTATGCCTTCTCTGAATCTATTCTTCAAACTATGCTTTGTTCAGAAAATAAAAAGGAGAGAGATTTCAGTGTAAACAAAATTCTTGAAATAAAAGGAAAAGGTAATGAAAATGTACAACTTGGAGATCTATCTGTTAGACGAAGAAGGACACCAGATATCAATACTAAAGCAATTTGTCTCAAGGACCTTATTGATTGGAATGAAACTTTTGAACCACCTTTGACTTGTTGCATGACAACTAAAGACATCAAAGAGTATTTTTTTAAACCAATGATTGTACCAAACTGGTGTTGCCACACTCAAGCTGTCGAAAGATGTGTATAAAAAGTTACCCAGGCTTGCAAAAATATTTTTACAGAAGATAGAAGAGATGGTTGGATTAAAGGACAAGAGTTGTCACAGAAGTTGATGTCACGAAATCTAAACAAAACCTTATTGGCTTGACAATGTTTAAGAATTAATCTTTATTGTACTTTATTTTAATGTGCCAGTAGATGTTTTGTAGATCTATATGAAAGTTTTATTTTTAATTCCAAAACAACCTAATTTTACAGTTTTAGTGGGAGGTAGTGGGAGGGGGGCAAACCACTCTAGTTGTTTTTATACAAATAATTATTTTTTTTTTTTAAATAGAGATGACGTTTTTTTGCGTTTTGTAAGTTTTTTTTAAAAAATACTTCATTTTTTTAAGTTCATACCTCCCCCTCGCCCTGGGTTTTTGGTAAAATAGTGTCACTGGTTCCCTGGTAGCTAAAACTTTTTTTTTTTTTTTTTGTTGAAGGTTCTAAACTTGTAATATTATACCTCAACCTTTTTTAAATTATGCGAGTCAAAATTCAAAAAAAAAAAAGTATGACACACCCTACTATGCATAAGCCTATTAACCAAATTTTTCTCGTCTGACCGGGGACGACGACACTGAGGGGGTCACGTGCCCCCCCACTTTTTTTCTGCAGGACTTTTTTTTTTTTCTTTTGAAAAGATTTTTTAAAGAATTTTTTTTTTAAGATATAGAGGACTTTTTCCACAAATTGATGGTTGGGCCCCCCCCCCCACTCCAAAACCTGTGTTGTCGGCCCTGCTGACGGCATAAAGTAAAGGAGAAGAAAATGTCGGACAAAATATCGTCTACCCTAATTATTATAACCGAACTAAAATAACCCAAATAAAATAAACTAAACTAATATAACTAACATTGTAGCCTAAATAAAATTATACATACAAAGTTGGTATTCAATCGCAATAATACATAAGACATTTCGAATAGAAAGAAATTTTTGAAAGATGGAGGTATTTAATAACATTTACAAACTTCTTTCTCTTTCTAGCCTCCTTTCTTTAAAAATTAACACATCTTTTGTATTAATGCCAGAAAATATAAATTCTGTACATTTAATTATATTTGGTTTACAATATCTGAAAACAAAAAGTAATGATCTCAGAATAAGTTTCTTGTATTTACCCGGAATTTACAAATAGGGTTTCCGACATAAATCGCAGCAATGTGTAATATGAGAAGTAACATGAGAAGCCTCTCAATAAATGGGTGTGTGGTATTGTTTTAACGTCCAATAATAATTGTGATTGTGTAATAGACCTCTCCTTAACGATTTCATCTTTTCCATTTAGCATCAAAAGAAAGATGAGTTAACAAGTATGCTTGCTTTTAATATTGAAACATTTTGAGTTTTGGATAGTTGTAAGTTTTATATAAACAGTTTAAATATTTAAATTTATTTACTAGTTGATAATATTATTGTAACAATAAAATAAAACAAGTCATTTTTATAACGGAGACCATACTTTTATACCCTAATTAATATTGAAATATTATAAATAAACCTTAATATACATTTAAATAGGCTTTTACGCCACTTTTTCATTTACTTACAGTTTTTTCTGTTGAAATAAATTAATATTCTGTAATTTAAGATTATTTTTTTAAATGACAGGCAACATTTTACTGTATTAGGTTAAACACTTTTTTTCTTGAAAACAAAGGCTTCATATAGTGTCAAGACTGGTTGAAAAATAAAAATAAATCATTAAACAGTCATGAAGGAAGGCAATAAGAACAAGTATATTAAAAATATTTAATTCTAGCAAGATTTTTTACAATTGTTTATTTACAATCGACTTTCTGTTTGATAACTAGAGTATGATCCCTTTTTGTAAGAAAGTACATTTGACAATTTATTTAATGTATGACATGACATGAAAAAGTTTAAATTTATCATAATGCTCCACTGATCTTGTTACCTGCCTTTACTTGATAGTGGTAACTTGGAAAAACTATTTGTCAATTCTAATAAATGCCAAAAATAGCAATCTGAATCAGTTTAGGTAGGAAATTAAACGAACAACTTTAAATAAGACTCTGATATTGGAGTTACACAAGTTATAACTAAGATAAAGAAAAAGGCATTAAAAGTTTGCTGAATCCAAATGGCAAATGGAAAGGTCACATCTAAGATAAAATAAGTCAAATGTTCCTGTCAGTCCTGCATTTGGACTAATTATACTTTTTGAATATAGTTGTTTTATTAGTCTGGTGACACCAAAGTATGTAAATGAGTTATCAGCTTTTGTTTTATTGGAGTTTTTTACCATGGCATTATACAATAGATGTAAACATAATGGTTTGATTTTTATATACAAATTTGTAAAGTATATAGTTGCCATTAGTTAGCATGTTAAAAAAAAGTTTAAAACTTATGCAAAAACTTGCCAAATAGGGGTGATCAATTACTTACTGAAGTCATAAAAGGTTCTGCATGAAGTTCAAGTTTTTTTCATGAGTCATTGAGATTACTAACTAGAATCAATTTTCTTTTAATAAATTTTCTCTGTAACTAGTGAATTTTTCCACTTACAATTGTTTGATCTAAAACTTATGGCTTTTTTGTACTATTTTGGTTGAAAATAGTACAAAAAATATTTCTTCACAAGATGATGAAATATTTTTTCACATTTATCACAGTAATTTTTTTTAAAGTCTTTTTTCGTCACACATGAACGTAAAAAATTTATAATATTTTTGTTGTTTATAAGTTGTATAAGTATTTCAAACATTTAAAAACCTTCCTACGCAACTTAATTAACAGATACTATCTTACCTCAAATTTCAAGTTTTGTGTATGATTTGATATATATATATATATATATATATATATATATATATATATATATATATATATATATATATATATATATATATATATATATATATATATATATATATTTATATATATATATTTGTTATATATATATATATATATATATATATATATATATATATATATATATATATATATATATATATATATATATATTTGTTATATATATATATATATATATATATATAATATATATATATATATATATATATATATATATTAGGGCTTTACCGGATTTAATTTTTTCAAATCCGGCCGGAGCCGGATTTGCCGGATTTCTACTGACAGATCCGGCCGGAATCGGAGCCGGAGCCGGATTTCAAAACAAAACTACAGGAGCCAAAATCCTGTACATCCCTAATTGGTGTTGAGCATGGTCAACAATGTGGACTATTCAGAATACCAAATGACTGCTGTTTTCTGTAAAACTTCATTGTTGTTATTTAAAAAGTTTTATAGCAATTTCTATATATAAATTAATAGAAATTCTAAAGAAATTCTATAGGCCATTTGTTTTAAAAGTTTATAGTAATTCTATTGAACTTTTTTTCCGGGATTTTGTCACTCCGCCACTGTAGTGGATCATTGTGTCTATTTATTTCTGGTTCTTTCGGATATTTCCTTAGCTGAGTTTCAATGCCTTTTAGTAATTGTTGTTTATGTGCCCTGCCACCAGCGGACGTAGACTGAATAATTTTATCAATAAATTGCCAGAGTAATGATGATGATGATGTAAAAAAATTATTAAGCCAGGCTTATTTTGGTGAATTTTCTTCAGTTTTTTCAATCTTCTGTTCAGCATGCTCAGATTGACTTCAATCTTGTTTTTTTAGC